AAAACCCTTGTGAGAGAGCCTATAGCTTGGGTGTAATGGATTCCCTGCAATGTTATGCCAGGAAAGAAAAAGGATGAAACCCAGAGATGCCTGCATTTGAGAGATAAATCTACCTCCCCCTTCCATCAGCACAGGGTGGCTGCTGTCTGCCCTTGTCCAGAAGCAAGATTTCCTTCCTGAAATGAAATCACTGCAACATCAAAACAACCAAGAAGCAGCCTCCTTGTCTCACTGTATTGCAAAGGAAATCATATCCCATGAACAGTCTATAGTAACAGCAAAGCTGTTTAGCATCTTCTGTGCAACCAGAACCATTCTGAACAGAGAGCAACACGGCAATGCAAAACAAACAGTGTTGTCATATTATCAGCCTCCACTCCACAGTGACATGCACCTCAACATAAGGCTTTTTTCATTCAAACTGCCATCTTCCCAGGCCTCCATGTTTCCCATTTTCCCCCCAAGACCAAAAATATCTGGATTCTCTTGGACCTGAAAAGATTTCTTCAGCTTCTTGCAGCAGAGTCACTACTGCATCTTTAAATCATCAAACTACATATCCCAATCTGGCTATTTAAGCAATTCAGCTTGTTAAGTCACAATTTTCAAATGTCCCTCTACTTTTATTTTGGTTTTCCCTTGCAGTCTGATGAATATCTCACTTAGGGACTTGTAAATGCTATTGTAAACTATGCTCCACTTATATTTTAAATGGGGACTAGCACAAAAGAAATTCAAAACAGCAAAGACAAAAAGAAAATATTTTTCTTCACTAAGTGTGTGCTACAGAATTAGAAGACAATTCCTGGTGAGGATATTTTCCAGCTACTTAATGGAGGAAGCCCACCTTCTTGTTGAAAATCTAGCCTCATACCTAAAATGTAACACTGAACTGCAATTTGAAGTAAGGCTTAGAGTAGGATTAAGGAAGAGGAAATAACAATACTTGCACTTAAAGCATATAATGACTTTCATTCAAACACCTGAAAGTAATCTCCAAATATTAATTATCACAGTATCAGCCTCCCCCAAACTCTTCCAGAAGAGGATCAACCCTGCATTCCTTTGGCATCCACATTGCCTGCTTGGATCTGTACAGAATGCAGAACAAAGCCAAAAGTATTACCTGCCTTTAATTATTATGGTAACTCTTAATTGACAGGAATAAACTCACCCACACAGGGACTGAGTGCCATTTATAATATGGCCTTTTCTTGCAGAGGAAAAAATGTGATATCTTCCTGTAGAGCTATTGCTCTGTGGGGACTTGCAGTATAAAGCAGAATTAAATTAAATTAAATTATGTTAAAGGAAAGGCCCAATTTGTCAGAAATTTTAAGAAAAGCTAGGAGTCCTGACTCCAAATCTCTTCTGGATCACACATTAAAATGTGGGTTTTCACTCCTTCTGCAGCACTACCTTTCAAGAGAGCAGGTAATGGAAACAGATGACATGACTCATCTATTTCTAGATAAGGTGACTTGGAATAGCCCTGTCCCACAGCTATGACTCAGATTGGCTAATGCTCAAAAGGAGAATAACCATATTCCAAATATTAAAAAACAACAGTCACCTTGTTTTTGTTACTATGTCTGTCATTTAATCAATCAAGGTACAAAGATGAAAAAATATCATCATTATCCATCAAATATCCTTCAGGCTTGTTTGAATGTGGGATTGGTTCAAAACCCTTCTGGTCCAGAATCTCTTCATTCTATCCTGTATATGGAATCACATAATCACAGAATCATTTCAGCTGGAAAAGAATTCTAAGATCATCAGGTTCAACCATTACCCAGCACTGCCAAGCCTGCCACTAGACCATGTCCCTAAGGTCCATATCTATATGTCTTTCAAATATCTGGAGGGATGACATACAGACTTTTAAATATCTTACTCCTACTCCTCACTGCCCACCAGCTAGACACATACCAGAGATGCTGAAATTGTCACATCTGAATTTAAAGAAATAGATAAAAAAATCTGTTGGTTTAAAATACAGGATTGAAAAGTGAAATGTTTCCCTTCCTGCCTCATCCAATGTCCACTCAAGCAAGCTTTACTGAAGGAGGATGGCCTTGAGCTGAAGGCACAGGGCAGGCTGCCAGGAAATCCGAGTTCTATTCCTGGCTCTCCTACAGATTTCCTTGGGCAAGGCAATTAACCTTGTGGAGTACACTTTCAATGGAGGTGAGGCCCAGCTTCTCCTTCTGCATTCATAACATTTTCAATGGTGAAAATGGAAATGCAGGAGCAAGAATGAGTGCCTGTACTTTTCTTTACCTGATTTTCTGTCAGGTATTTGGATGCACAGTTGCTGATAACTGTGCTAGTAAAAACCCTAAGAATTCAAACACTGCAGGCATAAAAATGCCTCCCAATCTTGCCACAAACAACCTCAGTGCTCAGTTTCCTCATATGTAAAACGGGCAGTGAGGCCAACAAAGCCAAAGTACTCACCAAACGGAAAACTGATTTTTAAAGTTCTTGAACACCTGTTATCTGAGATCATAAAAAGGGAATTGCTAAGAATTTCAGTTTGCCTTTCCCTAGAGATGCCCTTATTTTACCTGGTGCCAAATTTTTACCTGATAAAAGTTCCTCTTTGGACCTCAAACAGAATAAAAGATTTTCCTTTAAGCAGTCTGAAACGTCAGATGAAGTCAAAATTCTTTTCTAGCTGAGATTATATCTTTTAATATACCTTAACAGAAGTGGAAGTGAATTAGAGAATGAGTGAAATATCAGTTTGCTAATATAAATGCATTTTAGAGAACAAATATCATGGCTAAATTTTCTGTTCTCTTTCAAATAAATGTTGTCACATCCATTTATATCAACAAAGAACAGGACTCTGAAATTCCAAGGAAAGACATCCTTTTCTTAGACAAATGTGTAAAGAAATGAAGACACATACCTGTCTGAACATTGAGAAGACAGAACTTTTTTTTAGTGATTTTTTTAATGCATTTGGTACAAGCATGTAAGACGATTTTATGCCTTTCCTGAAATGTTGAATTGAAAAGTAAAAGAAGCAAACCACCAAAAACTGGCAAAAGTAAATAAAAAAAGAATATCTGTTAGTCAGAGGAGAAAAGTTCAACAATCACTGCTTTTTTTCAAAATGTTCATGTTTTGAGAGATGATTTCTTTTACAGGTCATCTGCATTGGAGAGTAAGTGTATAGGTATAAAGATTTTAAGGCTTTTAATTAATGCCTTTCATCCACTTCCTAAGTTTAGGAATTTTAAAGGAGAGGTAAATAGTCCTTTTTTCATAATCATAAAAGCCCCTTCAGGCTCTTTAGACCACTGAAACAATGAACACTCTGAGGTGACGTTCTTGCCCACACAGATGCAGAACATGTTCAAGAAAGAAAGTATTTTATATTACTAAGTTATAAAATAGTATCTATGACCTCTAGAAGGAAGCTAAGGTAGTTTGGAAGATTAAAGTAACCACAATTTATGTAAATTTTCACTATGTGCTTCACATGAAGCAGTAACACCACAGATACAGCAGTCAAAAGCTGTAAAGACTCAAAAATAACTGAAATTATGTTATTCTTCCAAGAACAAGAAACTGAATTTTTATCTATACTATCTTCTGTAATTACAGAAATAGTAACCTTTTCATTCATCATCCAATATACATAACTTAAATTTTACCTCAGCAATTACTAGCTGCAAATTGACCTGGTAGTACTTAATTTAAACACAGACATGTTCTCATAACAGCAGAATCTATAGCCTAGCTTAGGGATACACTGCACCACATCAAAGAGGGGAAAATCTCATACTAACCTTTTGCTATCTAGAAGTCAATTATGTGTCTTATTTTATTGTCTAGGCTGTCTTCCATAATGTCAAAAGATTCATAACTCCAGCTGAGAATTCACCACTGCTATAACAAAGCCTTCTTTGGAGCAGTATGGACTATGATCTCATAACATACTTCTTTCTCTCTACCACCCAGTGAATAAGACTGTATGAATTTAAGCATCTCTTAGACCATGACTTCATATGAGACAAAAAAAGACAGTGTGCATAAGAAGTAAGAAAAACTAGTTAAATGGCTTCACATCCCAGAGTATGTCACTATCAGGCAGAAACTTGACTTAGAAACTTGACTTAGGTGTGGAAAGGCTAAGTGTTCACATATTCACAGGATATTTTGAGTTGGAAAGGACACACAGAGATCATCAGGTCCAACTCTTAAGTGAATGTCTGTATGGGCATTGAACCCACAACCTGGGTTTTACTAATATCATGCTCTGACCAACTGAGCTAATAGGGGCAAGAAATATCCTCAAAACACTGATAGGTCCTCTGAGGCAATGGGATTTTTTTAATATGTATTTCTTCAAAATTAAGAACCTCACTCTCAAAATCTTAATGAACACTACGAGTTCTTTCCCTGACACAGGAACTGCTGGCATAGAAACATCTCACCAATTCCACGTTCAAGATTTTGCAGCTCAGCTCCGTCAGAATTGAACTGGAAATAATCTAAAACAAAAGTTATTATAAAAAAGCATTTTTGTAATATTTTTTAAATGTGGTTTGGCACTGCTTAAACTGGCATTTTGTATAAAGTGAAACTCTGCCCTCATTAAAAAAGTACTACAATCATCAATCAAATAATCATCAAATGGTTTGGGTGGGAAGGGACCTGGAAGATCACCTAGTTTCAACACCCTGCCATGGGCTAAGACACCTTCCACTAGACCAGGTTGCTCAAAGCCCCATCTACCTCGGCCTTGAGCACTCCTGGGGTGGGACATTCACAGTTTCTCTGAACAATTGTTCCAGCGTCTCACCACACTCACAGTAAGCAATTTCCTCTTAATATGTAACTTAAACCACTCTGTAGGAATGTGCCCCCTTATGGCAGTGATTAAATTATTCTTTGTCTCCTTAAAAAGGCAAAAAGCTTAGAAGTTTCTTTCCTCAATTTGGTAAAAAGACATCTCATAGGACCTTTGGTACTTCACCTCTAACCTGGGGCTACCCAACTGGACGGAGGCCAAAAGGTCCCGCCTAGGACACTGGAAAAAGAAGAGAACAAAAGAAATAATCACTTTTGTGGGGTGTTTGAGCAGGAGCAAGAACCTCTTGCCCCTGGCTCAGTTTTTCTCTGTAAGAGCTTTGTTATTTTGCCTGTTATTAAAACCTTTCTGTTTCAAACACTACCTCAGAAGCCATCCTGCTAATTTTATGCCATTCGAGGTAGCTGAGCTATCTTGGGTGTGATAGATTCTCTGAGAGCTCATAAGACCTAGACTGAGGAGAAACCCATCACCACTCTCTTCCAGTTTAAAGCCATTTCCCCTTGTTTTATCACTACAGGTCCTTGTAAAAATTCCATCTTCCATCTCCATTTTTCCTGTAGCTTTCTCTGGTTACTGGAAGGCTGCTCTACATCTGTCTGAAGCCTTCTCCAGGCTGAACAGCCTCTACCCTCTCAGCTTGTCTAGATGATCATGACTAGGATCAGATCAAAAATCTGTTTAAGGAAATTAATTTCTTATCCCCTAGCAAACTGAAATGTGCTCTCTATACTGTCTAGAAGAAAACGAAATTGTTGGAAGTTTTCTGAACAAGTCACAGTTCTTACTTAGGCTTCAGTGATGAGACACGCAAGCAGATGCTTCATGCACATCCTGCATGTCCCTGGTCAGAAGGTCACCAACTATCTTCCACTATTACAATAATGAAAATCCTAGAATTGCATCTATCCATCTTTTACAGCAGCTACGTGGCATGGAGTCAGCCATCTCTTCTCCTCACCAAAGTCTGGCTCAAGGCTGTAAAAAGCTCTGAACTGTTCTCCTGGAACAACTCTGCCATGCTATGCAGAGAATCTGTGGTTCAAGTCAAATAATTTGCAAATGCAAAAGAAATTCTACCTAAAGACTCAACAGAAACAATAGAAACAAAAAGAACAAATCAAAACTGGATTTCAGATTCGTCCATTAAACTGACACCTGAGAGCACTAGAAGACTGACATTTCCAGGGCTTTTCAATGCAATTCTTCAGAACAAACAGGAAAACAATTCATTACTTAGTCCTCTGTTCTACTCATAAACCTTCACTCCCTTTCTTTCAGTCAAATTATAGGCATACATTAATGAAATAAATGAAATTAAAAAACCTTTGACAGATCTTTACAAAGGATTAAGTGAAGCCATGAGCAAAAGTGTCCATGAGCAGCAGCTTCAGGCCTCAATGGCAAACACGTGGCCCTGATGAAGTTAATGACAAACCTTTCACTGACTCCTGCGAATGTGGATTTGACTTTATGCCTTTGCTACAAAAATAATTCTGCTAATAAAAACCAGGTTGCTTCATAGCCTTTTTTAAGCATCAAAGGCTATGTCTACAATATGGATCACAGGATGGTGCTGAGGACCTAATGTCCAAACCACACACCTTTCAAGAGGTTTTTACTTCACTCTAGCCTAGTCCTGAGGGTTGAATGTCTAACAGACTGTACTTCTACAGCACATCTTCCAATTTGGTTTCATTTGAAAGGAGTCCAGCCAATTATCTCTGGGACTGCTACACAACACATTCAGTAAGTGGGGAAAATCAGGAGATGCATTTCCAAAGCATACTTCTGATTTGACCTAGCATACTAATGCAGATGCATCCAAGGAGCTTAGACTATGTCTGTGCAATAAAACCTCTAAAACTAAGGAGTACTGAGGCCCCCATGAAGAGGGTTAATAGGTAATAGACTCACAGCCTTCAATGTGTTCATAGAGGTGCAGCAACCTACAGTGAAAGTGAGTTTTATAGCAGCAAGCACTGTGTTTCTGATTTCAACTATGTATATTTCCCACCTGCTTGACATTGTTATCTTCAGGACTTTTATTCAATTAGCCCTACACATTTAGGAAACTTTTCTGTGTAGTTGAATATTTTATTTTCAGAAGATTTTGTTTAATCTTTACCGTCTATTTTACTGACAAGGGTCTTCTTTCCCTTGACAGCTTTGCAAAGTACACATTATTGCATTAAAAAGATCATCTGATGTCTCATAAGCTTGTGATAAACTGGGCTTCTTGCCCTTTTCATTTGAGCTCTCCCTCCCCCTCTCGGTTTTATACTAGTCAAAAAAGATTTACTTCTCTTCTAAAAAATAATATATAAATAAATACTCTGTGAGTTACAAACATTAAATACTTAATTTGAACCAGCAGAAAGACCAGCTACCGGAATTCTATGGTGGTCTGTTAGCTCGTATGTCTCTGCATGTGCATATTAAAGGAAACAGCAGAAATAATACTTTACAATTTGATGAACAACATATGACACAGAACCTCTAGACTCTCAAAAAAAGGGTTATAAACTTATGAAAATGTAGAATTCTGCACTCTCCAAGGAAAAAACCCTACACGCTTCTTACTTGCACAGATACTAAACCATCATCAGTAAGGCCTGACATATAAATAAATTGGATTAAGGAAGAATCTAATCATTAAGGATTAAACTCAAATATGGGTGATAAAAAGGGACATTTTCTGACTACACATTGGAGGTTTAAACAAAAAGGATGATGTTGTACGATCTGCTTTCAGGCAGACTCCTCCCCTGATTTTAATTACAAGCTAGAAGGAGCCCGTGAACTTAATTTAAACTGGAAAGAGAGAAAAAAGAGAAGGGGGAAAAATTCTTCAGACCATGAGAATCAAATATGCCATTATCTCAATGAAAGCTGCAGATTTGGAGAATTACCTCTAAAAATTACAAGGAGCAATCATATCATCAGAATAACAAAGTAAAAAGTCTACACTTTCAACAAGGCACAACAGCAAAGTAATACAAAATTGTGAAATATGCATTAATTTTTTAAAAAATGAGTGAAACTATTGAAAGTATTGGTCTCATAATAAAGTAACACATACAACCCATTTTAGTAATTCCCATTTCTGAAAATCAGATTCTTGATCTGACAAATAGCCCATTCCATACTGAATGCTCCACTGATAATACCTATTCTTTCTTCCCCATAAAAATCCAAACACAGAAGGGAAACATTCTAGCCTACAAGATGCCAGAATGCTATACTAGCCCTTTTCACTGAAAACTCACCTTGATTTCTGACAATGAGTACTTGGAAGAGAAAACCTTTTAATGTGTCAAGTTGCTGCCTCTGCTGCCTCTTCCCTTTTCCCCAAACTCTTCAACCATCCCTATTCACCTGTCACACATTCTTAACTCAGAGGGGATGGCTTGACGGTTATAAATTAATTACTCTCATAAACTAGGTATTTTTGCTTTTTCCCAGGGATTGCACCCAATGTGAGGATCAAGCAAGCAACACTCCAAGCATCCAGATATGCAAGGCTCAAGCCAGACAGGAGGAAGCAGATGGAAACTGACCCATGTTTTACTGCATTTGGCATTTGCCTTCCACAAGCTGCTTATGAGAACATCACCAGCATATATATGTTTCAAAAAACCACTTTTTTAAGGCCAGTGAGCTTCCTCATGTACCTGAAAAGTGCCTGACTTAAAAACTACAGGTATAAACCACTCATCTTGTATGCAGTGGTCTGTTTTCTCCAAAGGAATATCCTATGGAACATTCACTGGAAAAGGCAATAGAACTAGTTCTTAAAGTGCCTGCTAAAGCCAGCTTTCCTGTGTTTAGTGGCTGATACTCTGGGGGACCTTAGCTGTAGTTTTCAGTACCTTCTCGTACTGTTTGAGCTTTTGCAAGCATATACTTTTACAACTCTTTTAACAGCTATGCAAAAGAACTGAACAAAATGGAGGGGGAAATGGCAGGACTGACAAGAGGGAAGAGAGTACAGAGGGAAATAAGGGTTTGAATTTGACATGGTGGGGGTGGATTTGAAAAAGAAATTTAAAGAAAAATCTTGAGCAGGAAAAGGGAACTGGAAAAGGGAAATCAGAAATGTTAACTTGTGATGAAGCACACAGCCACACTTTTTTATCATCTAACATTCAATCCCATTTTCCCAGTGACAACCCATATGAAAGCCCATACACAACTGAAAAACTTGCAGATGAGAGGTGCACCAGGCTCATTAGCTGCAAACATCAGTGAGAATACAAAATTTCAAGTACCTAAGAATTAAATACTTCCATAACTAAAGAAAAAAAAAACCACTTCTGATAGACACTTCTAAAGACTAAATGGGGTCAGGAAAAGCGGAAACTTTTAATGAAATATATTACCAGTCACTACAAATATATGAGGCATGAAAATTACTGTGAGTGGAAAAAGTAAGTTCCAAGTGCAAGTATCCTGCTGCTCATCTGTGCTCTTTCTCAGTGCATTTAAGGAAAATATGCATGTTTCCAGGCAATGTAGAACAAAAGTGTTTCGGTTTTTAACCTTTATCTCTTTCACCCTACATCCAGAGTCTTATCACCCTCTGATGTCTCATAGTGCCCCTTTATAACCTTTGTTACTCAATTACTGAACAAGTTATCTCGTTGTTACTCTCTTTTGAAGGAAGCCTTGAGCCTCTTTTCATGTTGATAAGATACAATAAATATTCACTCGAAGCAAACATTCAATTGTAAAGTGTCTTGAGCAAACTACCAGAGTCTAAAGGTAGGAATCGGTGATCAGCTTCTTTGCTCTCTTAACCCTTTAGTCAATACACCGGAACAAAGAGACACAGAAGATAGTTTTTTTTTTTAAATGAAATTACTGTTCTCTAAAGGAATGGACTTTATAACATGCTTTATAAGTAAGACAGCAAATAAATCTGGAAGTGAAATACCTACCCATTTCCTGGGCCGGCCTCTAGGTCGCTTTTCACCAGTGGCTTCTGCTTTCTGTAAAAGAAACACAACCTATTTTATTCCTCAGCATCACTTAACAGCCTCAGTAACTAGGAACTCCTTTCCTGCAATTTTAGCTACAATTATACCTCTTGGGCGGCCCCAGGCCCCCCCACTAATCTCTGTGTTTTCTGGGAGAATGTGACTATGCTGGTTTTTCCCGACGTTTCCTAGCCAGCATGGCTAGGCAGCACCTCTCCTGCACCCAAGGGTGCGATCCCCAGCCCTGATCCATGCTGTGTCCAGGGGCATGGAGGAGTGTCCCCACAGTCCCAGCTGCTCAGCGCTTTCAGCAGAGCCAGGGGTGCCCTAGCCAGACATCTGACATGCAGGTAGGGACGTAGGGCAATTGGGAAACCTGAGAACCTCCAATAACATCAAATCTAGTCTTTCACAGGCCATCAAAAAGTACTAAATTAAAAATACAGCCTGTTTCAAAGCCGTTTACAACAGATACAATTCCTTTTTTAGTCTCATAATTTCATGCATGAAATTAATTAGGTCAGAATATCACCATGAACAGGTCTGTGTTCGTACTGGAAAACAATTTCTCTACTTTGCACATGAGATTTTCCAGGTAAAAGCACATCTTTAAGCTGTAAGTAAACCTTTTATGGCCCAAAATACATCTTCCTTCTCCAGGTTTAAGGAAACAATCTGGAAGAAGCCCTAGAAGTGACAGCTATATTTATGTAAGCCCAGCAGTTGCTCCTGGAGCTCAGCTTAAAGGAAATATGGGTCCTTTTATAGGCTCTTCCACTAATCCCACTATGTGACATTGTGAATACTACTACTAATAGCAGTACTTATAGAGTACACTAAAAAACTTATAGAGTTTAAAATGAAAATTCTAGGTTATTCTCTCCAGCTAGGCTATGCCCATCCATACACTTTACCAGGTAAATAATCCTGTTCCACTCAGGATTTTGCCACCACCTGTAGTCTGGGCTGGAATTGCCAGATGCAAAGTCCCCAAGAATGAAGACATTTAGTACACATTAATTGTGTTTCTTTGGGCTTTTTTTCCCCCAGTTAACTGTATGTGTATTTGATTTGCCCTTAGAAATCAACTATGCCATTAAATAAATCACTTGCTGGTCAATCACTGTAACATATACTGTAACCCAATGCTGTGTAAATTGGATCTCTCTAAAAGAGAACTTGAGCTGAGGAACTAGTGGAGAAATGTCTACAAAAAATCCTGCCCTGTGAGTGAAATGCAATTACTTTGAAATAAATACCTCACAATAATAAAGCTGTGAAAAATAAAATTCACACTCCTGAAGGGCAAAATTATCACTCAACTTGTTAAAAGAGTAAACTAGAGCTTTAATAGTTTATACTGGTGTTATATGTAAGGTGAAACCCTCTTAAGAGAATACTTGTTAAAGTGCATTTACTATATCCTGTAGCTGTCTATTTCAGAGTTTTGTTTCCTTTAAGCGTTCAATTTCTCTATACCTTGTAACCTGAAGGATGCAAAAAAACAGATATGGTTTAGTGTTGATAAGCTGTAGCTCCCTGTTTCTACATTTGCTTCATGAAACACTGGGCATACATCTTAAAAAGAAATATCAGTTATAACTGGTCTTAACAAATCAATACTTGACATGCTATCAGAGAACTAAGGCTATTTATTTTCTTGTGTGTATGACTGCATCTGAAGGCAAGATCCTTTTCCAAAACTCTATTAAAAAATAATTAACTTTTTGAATACAAAACTACTTTGGTCTAGTACAAACCTGACACAAATTTTAACTACAAATTATAATGAACATGAGCGATTTCTTTGAATAACTAATCTTTGCTTCCTGTCATAAACTGTCACACAGTGTGGCCGCTTCCCATGAGCAGTGCTGAGCTCTACCACCACCAAAGGTCCATGTCAGAAGTGGCCAGTGTGCATGCTGGCTAGTTTGGGTAATGGCTTGTCAAGTGCTTGGGGACTGTGCAGATTGAAAGGCACTATATTCCTGCAGTATATGACTTCCACCTCATGTTGAAAGAAAAACATTTCCATAGCTCTTATCAAAACCAAATCTTTCCCAGAGGTGAGCTGAGCAAACAGCCAGGCATGCCAAAGGTGATGTTTTGGTACAGAGATTCTGCAAGTAAATAGCAAGGTTTTCACAGATAAAGCTGCAGAAAATGAATGACAAGAACCTCCAAAGTGGAAGTTTTAATCTCGTTTTCAAGAGAAGAGAAAGACAAAATACTTCCAGAACAAACAAAAGGAGTAGTAGCAGCACAGTGGTAATAATAAGTACATGAAGTTTAGGAAAATATTCCACCTCCTCCCCTCTTTTTCAGCCTGTATTTGCTAAAATACTGCATTTTAGCAAATTGCTGTATTTTCTCCAATAAGACTTTCTTTTAACTGAAGCCTTGAAGAAATGTTTTACTGTGTATAAGATAGGTAACACATTGGTTCCCCATGAAAGCACTAATACATTGCCTTGAACAGGTTTTTGCATCATCACAGATACTCCAGTCTGATGGCTCTTGGCTTTAATTGAAACGTTGCCTCTGAAGCTAGATGCAAATCCTGACAGAGCTCCAGGTCACCCATAGGTGCTGTTTGGTCAGGGGGTTTTTAACATTTGATGCTACTATTCTATGAGGCATGACCTTGCTTTTCACAGCTAAAACATTAAATCACCAAAGCTTAAAGAAGGGTCAGGTATGTTACCAAACACAAAGCATATTTCATTAAAAAGATGAAATTTCTTATAAACAATAACAAGAACATTTTTGCAATGTCACATTTGAGGAACAGAATTAAACTTACATTTAAAATCATGATCTATATGGGAAGTGGGTTTTATTTATCACAGGTGAGAAAGATCACCATTCAGCCATTGCTATCTGGAAGCGAGCTAACAGTCCCCATGAACACTTGCAATCCACTTAAGCCCTGTACCAGAGTGCCATCAAACCCTGCTTCCAAACAGCTTCTCTCAGCAAATCCAGGACATGACTGCCCATGATCTCTGCCCCCTTACTGCAAAAATGTACTGTATCCAGACAGAAACCAAGGCTGTACTACTGAAAGCAATTAACAAGACAAGACAAATATAAATAATTGAATGGCTATAAAGTGCTCTTTGGGCATCTATGTATTGTCAAGGAAGACCTCAAATGCAACAGAATCCAAATTTGAAGAACTCTATCTACTTTGCAAAATGATCTGCTGGAGATCTCAGATAAAATGTATGTGCTGAAAGTCAGGTAAAACAAGTGATGGCTCTCAGGAGGAAGATCATGTTGTCAGAGTCAAAGGACCTAGTTCAGGAATGTGTCCCTCTCAAAAAACCATATAGTTATGTAGTCAAAAAATACTCTTAAAAAAAAACCTTAGGCATTGACTAAGTACAAAACCATCACATTTTCCATGTCCTGTTTTGTCCATTTTAATGCTAAACAAAACTCAGTCTTCTGCTTTTCCTATCTTGGTCACAACATTTGATTTTGAGGCCTCTTATTTTTTCAGTGCAATAACCATGCTACAATGACTTGATAAATTTGATCTTATTTTCCCTTTAAGCTTGTAATAACTGGTGTTGATGAAAATGAATGAAGCATGGAGAAGCCAACTAGATTTTCAGGACCCAATTCAGGGCAGAGTCCTGATCACATGCACTTTTCTGGGTTTTTTTTGTTGTTGTTGTTTTTTTTTTCCCTTGTTTTTTTTTTTTTTTTTTTTTTTTTTTTTTTTTTTTTTTTTTTTTTTTTTTTTTTTTTTTTTTTTTTTTTTTTNTTGGTTTTTTTTCTTTTACCTTTGGACTGCTTAACCCAGGGGCATGCTTTTCTACATACCAAACCTGACCATGTAACATAGACACAATAGCAAATGTAGTCACACACAGGTTCACAAGCTCTAGTTTTAAGAAGATGATGCATCAAGTTCTGTAGGCATTTTCAGTGAATCTCACTGCACCAATAACTACAACAAAACTCAACATAATTTAGCTGAAGGAAAATTTTACTAAAGAATTTTTACCATTGTGTATTCCTGGGACATCCCTTGACAATTCCTTTAACGACAATTATATAGTTGCTACTATTCCTTTTTCTAATGTCACAAATGTGTTTCCTGCTCCCAAACAGGAAAGTATTTATGCCTACACAGTATTTTTGTCAAGTCAAACTATAGGAACTAAAAAAAAAAAAATAAAAAAGCCCTGAAAGGGAAATGTGATGGGCTGGGAACACAGCTCACCAAACAAATAAAATTCAACCACAAAACACCCAAGAAATTAAAAAGGCAGATTCCCCACTATGATCTTCCTGAAAAAACAGTTGTGCTTTAGGGAGAAGAAAACCCAAAACCGAATTCAGATTTTGCTATTTTGTAAAAAATAATTTTAAATTAATGACAGAATAACTTGTTTAAAGATGCAGACTGCATAATAACAACCTAAGTGTAGGGACTCAAGTGCAAGGTGATCAGGAGTTTTTTCTCTCTACCTCTTCTTATCTATCTAGTATTCATTGTATTCTTCCTGTTTGTGAAAATTAAACAATTGAGAAATTGTTTGGTCTTCTATAAAACAGTTTATTTCTTCTGTCTAGTTTATAAAAGCTTAGGCAGGTGTGATATGCAAGGCTTTAAGGAAAAAAGAAAGAATATTACCCAAAATTAGAGTAATTGCCACATTATTAGCTGTTCAGTTAGTTTTGCAATATTTTGTATGCATTGTCAAGTTTCACATTGCTAATTTCCTAACATGCACCGTTTGTTTTCAGATGCCCCAAGGCCAGTTTACTAAGACCAAACACAAGCTCTTAAAGCTAAAAAAAAAAATTAAAAACCAAAACAATTTTTTTTTAAATCCTGTGAACCAAGAAATTTTAAATATACAACACAACCACAATTCCAGGGAAAATTGTCCATCCACTGATTTATGGGTATTTCCTTTTTGAAGTATAACAAAACCAAGTCCCGGTTCTGGAGTATTTTTAACTCACTGCCAGTTTGTGCAATACATTTTTAATTGTGATGTGTAATGCTTTGCAAGAGAACACCCAATCAATTAATCATGAGTGCCTTCTCATGGCTGCTTGGTGGGTTCTGCTGGTCGACATTTATCTAACATGTTGTGAACACTCTGAAGCATTTCAATGAGCTCCCTTTGAAACACACAGGGCACACACTATTCTTTAGAAATTCCAGCCAATTCCAGCTGGGTGTATAGTACCCAGGTTCACGTGTAGAGGAGCTTAAGCTAAGATAGCCAGTGCTCTTTCTGGGAGTTGAGACAGGCTGAAGAAAGTCTTAATGAATGCATGTATGCATATGTATGTGTAAATATGTGTACCACAAAATTGAACATATAGTTCACTCCTTTTAGAGGTGATACCCTCACCACCAAATGAAGCTTTCTTACAGTGCCAAAACCTTCCCATCCATATTAGAGTTAGAAAAAATATTGGAAATAATATTACATTAAAAGGTACTTTGAGATACCTGGTGAGAAGCTGATTTTAGAGAGGGCTAATTATCAATTTGGAAAAATGGCTAAAATATTTATTTGAAATGTGATACCAGTCTCGTTCTTCTAGTGAGGCTTTGTAAGTGTTTTATGTTTTAGAGGATTATTCAAACACTTATATACTTTATCTATAAACCTAGAAACCAGTAAGACTTGTAATTACATACCCCTCAAAGGGATTTTTTCTATTATAAAAAAAGACACATGGTCTTTGGTCAATTTTTTACATTAGCAACACTCAAAAACTTTAATTAGAGCAGTAACTTGATGCATTCTGAAAATCAAAATGTTACAATGAAATTAGTTTGTAAATTAGACTGGGAAAGCATAACTATGTACTAGAATCATCTGGAAAACTCTTGATTTGATAAACCTACACATATATGAATGTTTTAAAATTATTTTCCGTTTATACTGATATCCAAATCACTTATGCAAATGAAATAATGTCAATATTCCTTTTAGAGGCATCTTTTCAAAACACATTTCTACAAATTACTTAAAATTTTATCTTACTACAAATGTTTCTCCTAGGAAAGCCAACACTCCTAGGAGTAATATTTAAAATACTAAAGCTCACATTTGGATTTGCTAGACTAATAAAAAACTGCTCCCTCTCTTTTGAAGAGTGACATATAAACTATTTTAACATGAATCTGAGGAATGCTTTTACTGTATAAAGAAAAAAAAATTAAGCACATTTTAAGCACATTACCTTGTAGAATGGCTTTGAAAGTTTTTTAATATTTAACCTGTAAAGCATTTTTTACTAATTCATTAATTTCTTGACAGAATATGCTGCTTTTTTCCAGTCCATAAAAAACAAACAAAACAAAAAAAAAAAAAAAAAAAAAAAAAAAAAAAAAAAACCAACAAAAAAAAAAACCCACCCAACTAATTTTGAATTTAAAGGCAGTTGGAAAAGTACCTCAAACAAATGATGAAAACACTTTAAACAAAACAGACATGAAACCATAGTCACCTTTTAATGATTTAATATTTATCAGTAGTTGCTATAGTAATTTATAACACTGAAAACTATTAAACTTAATATGGTCAGTACCATAGGCATATGAAAAATGAACCATAATTAGATGAGGACACAAATACCTTCCACACATTTTGTCATGCACCTCCTTAAAAGACACTGATACACTTTAGCACCACAGTTCACTACCAGGTTTTGCAAGCTTTAGTGATTTAGTACCTGTAAACTAGTGCTAACTGCTGTACAACCAACAAAATAAACAGATCTCCCATATTTGTTTTCAAGCCTACACACAACAATTTGCCTTCACTAAAATATTTCCTACAGAAGGGTTTGCATGATTTGCCTTGGTAACAGCTTTTTAATGGGGTGCTTTCCCCAGTTCAAGTAAAATTTAGTCAAATTTTCATGTTGTATTTGTGATGTAACGTCCATGCACTAAATGCAGTGACTTCAGGGAGCTTCTCCTGTAGCTGTAGGCAATCAGAACCACCAGAATAAAGTTTGGTCCCATCACCAAGCAGGAACAGTGATTCAGAAGTCTAAAAGCACTTGAAGTAAAAGTCTCTTTGAAACTGATTACTAAACAAGATATAACAAGCTTTTACTGTAACTCGAAGTTTACTTTACCATCACATTTTAAAGCTGTAAATTTCAATATATGCACTTATTTCCATCAACACATAATTGGATTTACTCCTAATTAACTTATGTTTGACAAAGCACTTAGCTTTAATATACAGATTTGGTCTGTAGTAGTAACAACTTTAAGTGGGCAAGAAATTAATCTTCCTCTTACAAAAATCTTAATGAAGAAAATAATATCCTTAACATTGACTTCCTTACTAGATACAGGACATCTCAAGGTCTCTCATTAAATACATTGTTATTTCACTAATCTGTAGACTACTAAAAAATATGCCCTTATAGGTTCTGTACTTTGGGTCTTGATGTTAATTCTAATTTTAAAAATGTGAAATTCATGCTTTATGTAGCTTCCATTATTAAAAGAGTTCCAATACCACACTTCACAACCTAAATTATTGGATTTTTTGCTACCAGCTGATAAAAAAACAGCATTAGTAATTTTTTCTTTTTAATAATCTCACCTTCTGAGCTGCTTTAGAGGGACTCTTGTTTTTGCTTCCCTTAGGTCTTCCTCTTGGTCTTTTAGGAGATGGTTCACCAGTTGGTTCCTAAATACAGGAAAACATGCTATTGTGGCAAGAGGCTACAACTAACCCAGATGTTCTAAAGAATAAACTAAATTGACAAGTTGCTTAAAACATATGAATTAACAGTGTCTTTAAATAACCTAATATTAATAATGCAATATAAAAAAATTAGCAACTCTAAGTAAAGGAAAAAATATATTTTGCACAATAAATGAGTTTAACTTCTCTTGCAATTGCATAGAAAAACTTGAGAAAGTGTGAATATTCTAACACGTAAGTTATAGCAGGAAACACATTTTTTAAAGATGGCTAAGATTTCCCTCATATAAGAGCAGTTATTTAAAAAATAACACAGTTACCCATTTAATTTCAATTTCATTGCAAATTATAGCAAGATACAATTATCACAATTGTTTCTAGCACAAGCTTTTGGGGGGGAAAAAGTTAACTACCAGAATATTGTAAAGTAAGATGAGACTACTTCTCTCTCAAGGGGGCATTTTTTTGTTGTTGTTGTTCTCCAGTCGGCATTATATTCACACCTATTCTAAAGTAAATGGGTTCTTATTAATATGCAAATTTAAACATTTCTTCAAATAGAACACTTGTAAGCCAAAAAACTCGACCAAAGTAAAATCTGAAACAAAATCCCAACTTGAAAATGAGTCGGCACTGCTTATTTTAGCTATTTGCTTAACTAGTTCCTTTGCCTGCCAGTAAATAACCAGTCCTTAAAACTCGGTATGAATTACTAAGAATTCGGATTCCAAATATTTATTAAGTGAATCATAAACACTATAAAACTCTTCTAGTCTTAAGTATTATACTTTTAATTCATATTACAGGATACAGTAGAACTAATTAAGTGCAGTTTGTTAACTTAAAACCAGTTTAAAGCCCTTCAGCTTTCATAATTCCCGGGTAGGTTAAGGGGAGGCTCGCGAGGGGACTCCCCAAGTACTGCAGCTCAGTGGCGAACCCCGCAGGCACTGCACATCTGGGCTGAGCACGTTGAAGGAGACGCGTTTTTCGCTCACTTCCACACATTCAAATGCTACAGGAGGGAGAAATAATAG